TGCTAGTTTATACAATGCTCTTCATTATGGTAAATTTTTTTTTTATACATCTTTCAAACTTTTTTTGCATTGCTTTATACATTAATTTTTCTGATTTATTTGATTGTTGATTGCTTTCTTATTACACCTTCCTCTTAATACTCAACTGGTTTCTTCTTTCTTCCTTTTAAAAATGTTTTTTTATCTGGAGAATTTTAAATAGATTCATATTTCATAAATAACTAGTTAACTAAAAATCTGAGTATAAACTGTCATGTTTATAGCATCTTATAGTGTATCATCATAACACATACACATTAATATATATAGTTATGACTTTAAGGTTACGACTGGAAAATTGCAATGTAATTTTAAAATAAAACTAATTTTAAGGCTTAATTTATTTATATATATAACTGTATTTAAAAATTAACATCTTCACCATAAGTTCCTTTACGAAACATGTAACTTTGAATGTATTTAGGAAGTGGTAAAAGTTTTTATACACACGCTACGTATAATGTTGAGCTCTTTTCAGAATTGCAGCATGCCATCACTATGTAGGGTATGTGTTCATCCTAGTCGGTTTGATTGGGATTAACAAACTTGGCAAGAATATACTTAACAGTTTGTATCACTCATTCCACTTAACCATTATATTGGGGGTGATAAGGCAGCTTGTTCATCATCACCATACACAACACTTTACATAACTCGTGCTCCGAACCATACTATCCAGTTCTCTTTCAATGCATCAGCCATGGAATAACCAATAGATAATCTTCAGCCCACTTTGTGGATTAGTCAATTATCATAATTGTATACAAATAACCTTGTTACATCTCTGGGAACAGAGAAATGACATTCATGGCTATTCTATGACAGCCATTTCAGTTGCATTAGATATTGATGTTTTTTTTTTTCTACAAGTTGTTGACTATAAAGATATTGAACAAAAATGGGCCTTTGCACTATCAAGAACAGTCTGGCATTCAAGGGAGGACTTCTTCTAGACCTAGCTACTCCATTTACCAGATCAGAGCCTGATTCTCCTTTTTTAATCTTAAGTCCTTTTAATCATAGAAAATGCCATTTCTATCACTAAGAGGCATTTTTAAGCCTTTAAAGCACAGTATTTCAAATAAAGGGCAGTAAACACTAATAGAAACAGCAAATTCCACATATATGGGTTCCTGTTAGTAGTCATAAGGGGAGAAGGCTTTTAGTTAGAATTTATTAAAGACCACCAGCTGAAACTGAAATTAATGAGAAACTCTAGTGATATAAAGAATCCAACTGTCAATGAGATTATAATTATTGGAGCTTTTCATTTCAGGGAAATATCAGTCTAATCATGAGGGAGACAGGGTTTTAGAAATTGTTTAGGATGGTTTCCTTCAACAACTGATTATGGAATGATGCTATTTTAGATTTATTATTAACTTGTAATAAAGAAGTGGCTGATAGGGTAAAGGTTAGGGAACATCTGAGTGCAAGTGATCATTGCTCAATTAGATTTAAAGTTTTGCTACATATGGAGATGATGGATAATTT